TCTCTAGAGCTATGAATATCTCTGTGCCCGTGATTCTGTTCTTTATAATGGAATTTAATGCTTTAATTAGCTTTCTCTGTTCTTCAATATCCATTAGATTTTTTTCTTACTGTAATGCTACCAGTTTTAAAATATCATTAACATCAACAATTTTAAACTTTTATAGAAATAACGCTGTTATAAATCAGTAAAAATTTAAAATAGGAGTATGTAAAAATTATTTTTACTGTGTGAAAATGAAATCCGAACAGTGATTACACGTCTCTTAATATAAAAAAGTTCATACAATATATAAAGCAAAACTCAATAAAGATTCAAAATTATTTCAGAATGTTAATATCATACCCAGTTGGATAACACCTCTACGGAATGAATGCAATTTCATCTGAGCAGATGACGAAATGTTGGTAATAATGTTTTTAATATGCTTTAACCCTTTATCTACCGCCCATTATGATTCACTGCAGTTTTTTTCATGCAATAGTTTTTTTTTTTTGAATCACTACATCGACAATTAAGGGATATACATAAACAAAATACTCAACTTTGGGAAATGTAATCAGTCAGAGCTAATTAATTAATTAACGATATTCAACTGTAAAATTAATTATATACACTGTTCACTTAAAATAAAATGTCAAATCGTTTTCTTATGACTTCAATAACATAAAAAAACACCTTTTGACATTAACTACCGTAAAATCCGGCGTATAACGCGCACACATACTTTCAAGCTGTATTTCTTAATTTTTTGGTATACTCGCCGTATAACCCCCTTTTTTACAAAGGAACCACGAGTATGCTTGTACAATGTTCTTATGTTTTTAAGTTATTTATTCGAATTATCCCAGGATTTTGAAAAAATAGTACCCTATTAGAATCAGAACTCCTTTAACTTCATTAGGTATGTCATTTCTTTCAAATATATAGTATTCCGATCAATGAAGAAGTTTAATTTTTCTTATGCTTATCTCTTTTTTTATTTTTGATGCTATCATTTTTGTACCCTGCGTATAACGCGCACCCGTAAATTTAAATCTCATTTTTTATGTTAAAAGTGCGCGTTATACGCCGGATTTTACGGTATTTTTTCGAGACAAAAATGGCAATCCGCAGAAAACGCCGTCAGCTGAAAACGCAATTTCTGCTTTAAAACTATTCGCCTTCCCCGCTAAAATAGGCATAACAGAACCCGTGCAGCTATATATCTTGGAGGAGTGGATTTAAAATAATATTCCTGCTAAGTATCTTAAGAGTATTCGTAAAAATGGTAATGTTAAAGTGAGTGGCCCTTATAAGTACCGTCGATAGATAAAGGGTTAAAATTATTATGTATTCAGGTGAGAAAAACAATTTTTTTTTAAAAAAAAAATATTTTTTGCATCGCATTTGAATCAATATTCAACGAAAGTTTAAAACGTCATATTTTATTTTCTGTCCATATCATTTTTGTACTATGTATTCAATTCTGTGACATCGTACTCAATAAAAATATCTCCTTTTGCCAAAGCAATGCCCAAACCTTTTGGTTCTCTTTCGCATGGATGAATGTCAAGAAGTCTTCCAATGTATTGATCCCTTTTGAGAATCATTCTTCTTCTCTGTGTTCAATCAAACTTTTAGTCAATAAGCAAAAGTCTGTCTCTCCATGATATCGTTACCTAGAAACGCAATTCAATGCACTTAGCTCGCTTCAGATGCCCGTTTGCGTGATTGATTGCGCTTTCTCGGAACTACTCGTGATTGGAATTACATTGGAACAAATGGAAACCATCTCTAAATCAAAAGCATTTCCTTGTGGATTACTTGACTAAATTATCCAAATTACTCCGGTTCCTAGTTACGGCCCTCCGAAGAACTGGCAAGGATTCGAATTCTTCTCCTTTCGAGTTCTCTCTGCTTTGATTCCGTAATGTTTATATTCAATTTCCTAGAGCGATAAAATTGGCGCGAATCCAAGTTTCTGACGAAAGCTTGTTGCAATTATGCCACATGCGTTTGTTAGTAACACTGATTAAGTTAGTGTTCGGAGAAATAATACAATCCGTTGGATTCTGGAACCCATTGGGAAACTTCCAAATAGGTTCAATTTATTTTAGAAGTAATTATTATTTTTTCTTTCCCTTTAAACTTGTGTAATTTCGTTACGGTATAAGAGCTTTAAATGCATTTCACTTCAGTTATGTGTACTACTATTTTCTTATATGAGTCTCTTTTTTTTTTTTTTTTTTTAGTGAAACTCTGCTCTTTAAAATTTCTTACAAAAAATATCACTTGTTAAAATTATGCTTTTAAGGTCCCTTGTCAAATGAGTTTTAGTTAACTCAAGTAGAGCATATACAAATGCTAAAAAAATGATTTATTTAATATTTACAGTAACAATAATAACTTCTCAGCCAAAAATTTGCTTTTGTATTCAATGCTTATTTCTCTTTACTTTAGATAAATCCATATTGTTACTCAATATTTCTTAAAATATCAAATTGGATGCATCAAAACTCTCAAATTTTTAAATCCTCTGATGGTATATTTAATTTTTCTTAGTTTTAATAGCAAGATAGTGCTATTTTTCTTTCCCCTATAAATTTCATTAATGTATCATATAAATATTTTCTATCAACTCAATCCATTTTAGTAATGTTAGATATCATAACATTTCAGTTACAAAAATCCATTTGATTTCATAATATTAAAACACTTAAATAGGGACTATTTCATTCCTTAACTTTATATTTAAGAAAATATTTGATAATCTTTATTTCGTTTTCTAGACCTACTAAATCCTTTTTTTTAAAAAATTTTCTTAGATATTTTTTAATAACGATATGTGTTCCCATTACACTATATTTATATTACTATTCCAATACTTATCATTTCTTACATCATGACTTCAACTCTTTTCTTTTTTTTAGCATTGTAAGAATTTAAATCAGTCTAATATCACCTCAAAACAGCCATCATTTCAAAAGTTGTAAATAAAGCATTATACAAAACACATAATTTCCATTCGCCAGAATTATTTCATAATTCATGACATCCTCTTCCAAACCTATCATGAATCACTTCCGAAAGATGCATTATCTGAGCCATAAAATAAAAAAAGTCACCTCCATGATGTATATTAATACATCATCAAAACTCAATTCCAATTTTCAATACCATATGCTACCAGATATAAATGCCAATTCTCTTTAGATTTCTTACTAATCAACCAACTTTTTTTCTTTTCAAATTTTAATTCACCAACATCATATTCACAATTTCCCCCAGAAAATATACAACTCAACTCTCCTCTCCAACGTCATGACACCAGAAGATCATTTCAAACTTTCTATACAATTCTTGAAACCCCAAATCGTTCTTCAGTTCTTTGTAAAATGCCACGCACTGCTGTATATGCATTTACAGTCATCGGCTGTGTCAACACACCGTATATCCTACAATCCATTCTGTACGACTTCCACCTAACACTCTTAATTGTGAATTATTTGAACTTGTTAACATAATGAGCTTAATGATTTTTTATACAAATCACTTGCGCAAAAGAAGAAGAAAAAAATCGGAAGATGAGACTTAGCTGGACGTATGTGGTCAGCTGTTTTCTTTTAAAAAAGTGATTTGGAATTACGAAGATGTGTGAACTGGTTGAAAGACTTGAAAGACATTTTTTTCCTATTGCACATAGCCGTTGTGAAAGACTTCATTTAGATTTGTTTGTAAATTTCCCTTTTCCTTCTTCCTCTAGATGCGTCCTCAGATATTGTATGCACAGAAGATAGAGTGAAAGACTGTGTTTTTTTTTTTTTTTTTTCATCTTTTCATTTCAGAATGTGCCATATAAAGAGAGGAAACATTTTGCAGTGGACTATCTATTGTATATTAACTTAATGAGTAAATTAAAAACTTGTGAATAATTCAAAATGTGACTTGTGTGTTTCCATTCACTAGAACAAAAACTACAAATGTTTTAGTAAAGGCAGATGCCATAACTTTACATAACACGTCAAACTTTAAAATGCGTTTTACTCGGAAGTTTTTTCCCCCCGAAAAACTCAAACGGCAACAGTGATTGCACAAAATGTTTTTAAAATAATTTGCTGAAACTTTTTGTGTATGTTCTGTATAACAGTAGAAGTGTTATATTTATCAATCACTGTTTTATTACAAAAGTTACAGTTGTTTATGTGAATATAATCACTGTTTTTTTTAAGAAATTTCATATAATAGCTAAGATAAAGTGCTCTAGTTTTTGTAAAAATTAAAATATCTCTTAACCTGAAGGTCATTTCAAAAAGGAATAGCAAAGTAATGCATCAAAATTGAAAGATTGAGAATTTGTTCATTTACTATTCGTACAGCTCGGGCCCCGTTTATGTCATTTTTTACCCATTTTATTAGTAATAATTTTTTTCTCTTCTTAATTTTAGCCTCTTTTTTTCTTCTTAAAATGTACTAAATAAATCTAAAATCCACAAAGAATTTCCATATCTTCATTTTTTTTTTTTAAAGTTGCCGCAAGTAGTCGGATACCTTAATTGAAAATATACTACACGAAAACATTTTCCATTTTTAAAAAATTAAGATGTTTCAAACTGTAGAGTATGGTCTTTCTTATGGTACATGAACAAACCTTTAACTCATGTTGCTGTGTGTATGAAGAAGCTCCGTATCAAATTCTGCAATTGTCCATAATTGACTAACATTTTAGGTAATATGGGCATAATTATCGGAAATACGGGCAGATCGCGCATTATAACAAGTAATATAAAGAAAAATCTTATTTTGGTTATTTTTTATTAAATAATTACAATTAATGTAATAAATATGTAAATACATATAACAGAATCACAATATTAAATGGCAAAATAGAAAGGGATTTTCCTTTCTATATAGGGTGTTGAACTAATTTTTTTGCTTGTTACTATGTATTCATTAATTAAATTTAATTATTCCAATAAAATAGTATAGTTAGAAGAAATCATGTTCTCAGAAATTAGGCCCTCCGATGTGGAATTCGAAGCCTTGACCTTTGGATTAGAAGTCCAACGCGCTAACCATTGCGCTACAGGAACACAACGAGCTATTTTCCATATGATATAGGGTGTTGGACTATTATTTTTGTAACTATTTATTCATTAATTTAATTAATATTTAAAAAAACTGTATTAACATCATATGTTATCCCCCTACGAGTTTAAAAAAATGTATTTGAACTTGAGTGGATGAATAAAAAGTATTTTATTAACGATTGAAAATTTGAACAAGACATATATATATAGATATATATACAAAAGTAAAAAATATATATATAGGGAGTGTGTGAACAAATAGTAGGATCCTAACAATCAATCAGATCCTATTTCCCTTGTGGCAGCAATAACCAAGTGGTCATCTTCATAAACTCGTGGCATGCATTAGTTTCGTCAGTCGTGGATTCGAGTGCTGGTGCCGCTAAAGACTCGCCGTGTAGAGAGCCTCATTAAGTCAGTTGAGATTCAACACATTGTGTAGTTGAGGCTCAAAATCGTCATATTGGTGTGGAATAAAAATTTAGAGAATAAATGATCCAAGCTTAAGTGTCTCCATTCTCTTGACCAAGCCTCAAAATCATGAGGTCCATCGCCAAAAGACCTCGTGTTGCTTCGTAGTGTAACGTTCATAAATTCTATCAATTTACTTTCCTTAAATTCATTAAAGAAGCAGGTTCGCGAAATACAAGACCTGAAACTACTGGATTGATTAATTAATACTTTATTAAACTCACTGTCTTAAGATTCAAATCAAATACACTATTAGAGAAGGAACTCGTAATTTTGTTGACAGTCAAATGATAAGGATGAATGGACACTCCATTCTCCATGAACGTGATGATTTTTTGGCCGTACAAATTTAACGTGTATTAGATTAGAATCAGTCCTGAACTAAAATAACGGAGATTATCTCATATATCTGGAATGTGATCTTAAAGTGAGTCCCAAGCCATTTTGGGATCACCGCAATGAGAGAGCTGACCAAAAAGCCAAGCATGGTGCCTAGTCCTCTCAAGCGGAAGTCCCCCTTCACCCTCATAAGAGCATCATTTCGATATACATTGACAAATATATTGCCATGACCTAAAACACCAAGAGCCATGAGAAACTCTAGCCACTGCGGGTCTAACGAGGCTGTTGCTCGCTTTCGCCTTACCACTGGACATGACGTTTTGGGAATATACCTCCACTGGCTGCTGACGAGGCCTTTCCAATCTGCGATCATGCCAGAATGGATGGGAACCACTTGCTCCAATGCACTGGACACGACATCTTCAGTTGGTACTGGGATGCTAGGCGTCAAAAGGTTAAGAAGCCAAGCGTGGGTGTTGGATAAATAAAATAGATCCCCTACACGACGAGTATTTCGTGGCATAACGACTCAAATCCACAAAATAAATCTGGTGACCAATTCAAGATTGATTATTTGGTAGTCACGGCCATGAAATCCTTAGTGGAATCTATGATAAATTAAAAAGTAGTCAATTTTGTAGGAAAATATTATGTTTCTGACACAACCTTCGATACATTTCTGTCAGGATGGACACAGGTAACCCATCGTAAAATGTTGCCATTAATCCTGGACAAAATATAGCTAAATGCAACCACTTACCTCCGTTCTCTGCATGGTTTTATCTAGAAACTCAGAAAACTTAATATATTTTCAGCAATTAGGGTACTTGTAGGTTCTAGGGATCACGGATTGGCGACTGCTGTTTCGAGTTAACGCCAACAAGAATATTGACGATATTATCCGATAAGATAAATTCTCTGCATACAATGATAAAATGTTCAATTACAATAGGGTTAAATCAACTTTACCTATTTAATAATCGGTGCAAGGATTTTGTATACTTTCTACATTTTGCCATGTTTGTTTTCAAGATTCCAGTAGCAAATATATTAACAATATAACAGAAAGAAAATGACACTAAATTTGAACTAACCACTGTAACAGATTGGTAATGTTTGAAATTAACACCATCTATGTGTAACATTAACAACCGGCATGTGCTATGATATTTAAAACCAGCACCACCCATTTATAATGTGAGAAATTTGATTTATAAACCAAGACTTAGCCTGTATGATTTCAAGGATCTTGTATCCGATAGATACCTCAATTAGTATCAGCATGCACTTTTACTTGTGAATATTTAGATGGTTGTGGTAGCTGAGTGATCAAGGTTGCGAACTCGTGGGCAGCATTCTTGAGTCGTGAGTTCGAGTCCTGCTGCCGTCGAAGACTCACCGTGTAGAAAAAGAGCTAATGATTATTAAATTTTTAGAGGGTCAATGTTTTTATGAGATGTGGAATAGCGATTTGAAAAATAGGATGCCACCTTCGAAGCCACTCGCGTCAATGACTAAGGTTCAAAATTTAGAGATCCATTGCCAGTATCTCTCACGCAACTTTAAATTGTGACGTAAATAAAAAATGAAATCAAATTACGTATATATAGTGCATCTCCATCGCTAAAAGTGTGTGCTTGGCGAGATATGGATCAAACGTTTAAAAAAAAAAAAAAAAAAGAGCTGTTAAGTTAATTGTTATAAGTCTTTTAACTATATTGTTTGCTTTTTCAAGTTATAGATTATGCTGTGGCATAGGTAAGAAAAATTTATTAATCAAAAATTAATTAATTATTACTCTTAACTACTTAAGCTTATATATAAAAATACTATTAATTTTTTAAGACTGCATTTATTAACAATACAAATAGTCCAATTATTTTCATGCGACTTTACAAATAATTTGTATGAAAAGTAACATTAAAGATAAACATAAAACAATACTTAATCTTTAAAACAATTTTTTGTATGACAGAGTATTCTTAAAACATAAAGACGTAAGTCCATTTTAATCAGATTGTCGAAATAAAGGGGAATCTCTATCTAATCCTATTTTTGAAACACATAAAAGAACTGGAGTAGCATTTTATTTATTTGAGATAAATACGCACGATTTCACATTCTTATAAAAGGCGCAAATGGAGCGTAAAATTCTACACTTCTACTTTGTCCTCTAGAGACTCTCTGAAATACTGCAATAGTTCGTATTTTTAGAGCTATATAAATTATTTCTGAAAATACTTTTATTTAGCTGTGCAGCGTAGCATGTTTCCTACGCAGCTTTCACAATCTATGTTACTGTTTAGCTTAAGAATAATATGGACTAGTAATTTATTTTTGTAAAGCAATCCAATTTAAATTTTATGCATAATAATTTGTAATGAATAATATAAGTTCTTATATTATGATTTTATACGAATTTTTTCTTATGACCATGTTGACGTACAAAAAAGCGTATTTAATAATATTTAATTAAAATTTGTATTCTTATTACTGTTTCTTATGAAATATCACTTTAAAATATTCATGTTACATAAAGGCATGGAACCTTAAATTTAAAATACAGTTGAAGCTTTATACAACTAACCTCTATATGTTGCAAATTTTTCTATGTAGCGAACTTTTTCCTGGAACTTTTGAACATTTCACGATTTTCTTCGTAAAATAACGCTCACTATAACAAAGTGCATTTTCTATATAACGAACGTTTTCTTTTGTGATTCACTTTTTTTTTCTCCTTTTTTTCAAGTTATTCTCTCATTAACACATTTTATGGTGGTCATAGATCTTGAACTGGTTTTATTAGATCCTAAGAGCAATAGAATTCTGGACGTTTCATCCAAGAAGTGCAACGTTTAACCCCATTGCCTAGTTCACTAGAAACATCTTCGATATCCTCTTTCACCCTCAGTGGAGTTGTCCCGTGTCCCCGTGTTCTAGTTATAAAATAATGTAAGTTTAATATTACTTGTATGCTTTAAATTAGAAAATGTCTGTAAAATTCATTCGTTTTAGTATAAAATTGTTATTTTCTTAATATTGAAAATACAGTTAATTCTTCGACATTCTTTTTACTTGTTTTCCTTGCAGTTTTTCTTTCCTTTTTGATGGGTAAGGTATATAAAATAAGCATATATTAATTTTAAAAAAATGCGAATAATTACTTTTTTAATATATAGTGTTTATGAATTTAAAATGTGTTTTATGTGGTTTATATAAAGTATATTAAAAAAAGAACCTCTATATAACGAGTTTTCTATATAACGAACTTTTTTCCGGGATTTAGTGACTTCGTTATATAAAGGTCTGACTGTATATAATATTGAAAAAAGGGGATATATATTTTTTTTCAAATAAATATATCTGATTGATTGTTTGGTTATAAGAAATGTAGAGCAACACAGGCTGTTATCCCTAAATATATCAATTTGGACAGGGGGTCCTCGTTATTTGATCGTGATTCAGAATTAAAAGGATCGTCGCCAATAGCCCTCAAACTGCTTCAAAGTGTAACGTAAATGGAAATCAAATGAATAAAATTATATCTGGTAACATGCATAATTCATAAACTGACTATTTTTGTCAACGACACATTCAGAAGCAACACCAAAATTGTTGACGATGCACCTCGTAATTTTGAGCAATGTTCAGTTGTGTGTGTGATGAGGTCTTGTCTTCAAACTTCCTCACAACACCAGTGAGAGGACTTTGAGATTGGATGGATTTGCACTGACGTATTAAACGATGAGTTTTTAGTTGCAACAAAGCCAGAAATGAACTCACAATCAATACCACTTGGTAACCGCGGCTGAGCAAAAATTATATGTAATTTTTGATGTACAGGTGTTTAAAAAATAATAATTTATTTTAGGCGTTACAATTATGAATTTTAAATAACATTTTAATACTTAAATATTTGAATTATATAAGGGTTTTTTTTTTAATCTTTTATCTGATAAAAGAAAAAAAAAAAAAAAAAAGAAAAAAAAAAAAAAGATAAATAAATAAATAAAACAATAATAAACATGTTAGACCGTGAAAATTTATTGCATTTAGACTCGTCTTGTATCTTTAGTATCATTTTTCAATTCCTACTTTTAGCTCGCACTGTCTATATATTTATTTATTTACAATTTTCAATCGTTAATAAAAAACAGTTTAAAGCGCTGAATTGAGCTGAAATTTTAT